AGCTCCAAAACTAGCATGAAAACGAGTTGCCTGAAGTCAGCGCTAAGAATCAGAAATAGCTGGAAATCCAGAAATCTTGTCTAAGCTCATAAGGGTACCTGTCTGTCTGGAGCACACTCAGTGTGGCACAAAGCAATTTCTCTCAGAGAAAAATCCTGTGCCTGCTTCTACATCCACGAATTGGAAACACTTCTCTCTTTCCCACAAATGCAGCCTTTTACTCTTCTACTTTGAGGTAGCCAAAGTATCAGTAGGGTAGCTGGAAGGGGAAAACACTAGATCTGTTTCCTAAACAGCTCTTCTTTGTATGTAAATGGAACATCTTTCTCTGCTTTACATTTCCTTTCTTTCCCTCTTTCTTGCTCTCACCATGTGTTCATCCTGGTTTAGCCAGAGGCCAGCAGACAGAAAGTCAGATGAAAAAAAGAATTCCTGCAGATTTCTTAAGAAATGGGAAGCTGCAGCATCAGTAATGAGGCAAAACATTGGTGAATGGAGACAGATTCATGGTCCTGAGACATGCAGGACAGCAAGCCAGGAAGACAGCAACCATAAAGCAGGTACATACGCACTTAACTGTGAAATAACAAAAAATACCTGGATCCAATATAAAATTACTTGCGTCATCTGTTCTGTGCCTTTTAACATCAGAATCCACGCTACTGCTTTTACATTGCTGCAGACATGCACTGGGTGTAGGTTTATCTTCTAGCGGCTGTCAGGTTGCCTGACTGGCCTGCTCCTTCTTTAGCACGTACCCCTTCTTATCTCTGATGATGATCAGAACAGGTTGGAGAGGGGTAACCTCTCCAGCAGCATGTGGCTTTTCACTCAGTTGAATTGGTTGTTACTTTATGTTTTCAAATGCGTGACCTTTCTCAATATGTATGATCTTTGTCAACTTCTTTCCTTCCAAATTTCTGCGACGTTAAAACCCAAGCAGTATTCCCTGTGGAGCATAAAACATTAATGCTCATACCCGGAGGAACCTTCCAAAGCCAGACTTCATCAGTGCTTTCTTAGAGCTGACTTCCACAATGTCCCTTTTTGGATATCAGATATGTTGCAATAATGTTTCCCATTTGTAACATGCTGTCTTCAATGAAAGGCATTTTTAAGGCCAGAATCCACCTATTTTATGGAGTCACTTGATATGTGGAATGCCAAGCAGAGAACTAAGCAACTGCTGGAATTCAAGAAAATTTTTACAAGTTTCTTACTTATCCCCACTCCAATTCTTTTGTTTCATAGTCCCATGTCTCTTTCCTCTTCCTTACACTAGAGACATTTAAGGAAAGAGGTGTGTCTTAGAGACTGTATTTGAAATTGTCTCTGACTCTCAATTTCTCTTTGTAAACGTCTTGTCTGATTTTCTGCATCCTGGTTGCAGCCAAGTCTCAAGGGTGAGACATTAAATCAAACACAAACAAAGGCATCAAAAATTAATTTCCACTTAAATATAATACTTACCTGTGCTTCACTAGAGTGTACTGTAGCAATCAGTTCTTTGCACTTGATTCTGAAGCAATGGCTTCAGCAACTGGTGGCTCTTGATGTAGTCGAACATATTCCCTAAAGACAGCTCCATCATCGCGCTTAGTTTTAGGGTCTTCAGGAGGTTGTTGCACTAGTCTACATCATAACTGGTTGTTAGGTGTATTGTACTGGTTGAATCACTGGCAGTGTAACTGTCTTTTGGTTACATTTTTTTTTCTCATTTTTTTAATGAATTAATATCAGTAATGTACCAGGTATCTCCAAGTCCTGCACAATAACATGGGAAAGAGGAAAATCCCACACAATATTTTTTTAAAATTATTATTTTCTGTGACGTATAGGAACACGGAGTGACTCTTGGGGATAGTCCTGTGCAGGGCTAGGAGTTGGACTTCATGGTCCTTGTGGGTCCCTTCCAAGTTGGCATATTCTGTGACTGTGATAAACTCCATTCCCTGATATCCTCTAGCCATCTATTGCCCTGTTGAACTATTGTCAGCTCATGCTGACCCTTGGCCTTTTTGTCCTTGAGCTTCGTCTACACTCCATTTTCCATCACCTGTCTACTACTGATCTAGAGATTTCCCTCCTTACTGCCTGAGAGTGCTTAGTTTATTTAATTGACCTAAAACTCCACACCTCCCATGAAATGCAGATAATTTCATAATTCCATTAGTCTCTGGGTTTCCATGTCATGGGATCCTATCCTTTAATTGCCACTTGTTCATGTATACGTATATGTATATATGTGTATCTATAAATATATATGTAGGCATGTATGTGGGCATTCATGCCCTTTTTTCTGGGCAGCATTGAGGGGAAAAAACAAGGATAGAAGTTCACTGCTGCCATCTCCAACAGTGCTGCAGCTGCTTCAACAGCAGCCCTTCAGTAGATATTTTTGAGGCCTCTGTCAGTATAAGATAAGGAATTTTTTTATCTCTTAATTTCATAACGTCCCATTTCTTTTCACAAAATTTACAAGGGCATCTTCTTTGGATTAATATACTTTACAGGCTTCTTAGCACCTGGGAGCGCACATTTAATTTCTCAGTGTGGGCTGAGGTTACAGGGGATGATATAGTAAGAATACTGCAACTCTCTGGTATTATTTTGAGATAAGGCAAGAGAAGAGTTGCTATATTCACCTGTACTTTTATTCCTCAGAGATGGTGGAGGCTTTGGAAATTTAATCTTTTAATGTAAAGCTATTAGGCACACAGAGTCACAATTCTTAGACTTCCTTTAGTGCTGTGACAGAACAAGGTCTATTGAAAGTTAATGGACTTCTTTTCCTAAAATACACCCTGAAACTACTTCTCTCATAAATTTTGGACAAGAACATCTAATTTTTTCCTCCTGTATACAATGTAAGATGGTTTATGGTTTTCTTCACTCTTAAAAGGAACGTAGTCTTCAACCTTGTAAGAGGGAATCAAACGGACTGTGTATTTTTACTCAACATTTAGTAGTAAATGGAAAATAGAAATACCTTTCTAGCTGGTAGAATCTGCTTCGTCTGGCCATTGGAGCTGTGGTGTGTGCTGTGCAGACTGCTATTCCATTTGTGCTGCTGCCATTTTGGGTCTTGCAACCTCTAATTTGCAGGAGGGGCTGGAAGCCATAACATGGTTTTGAAGTGGCTGTGATGGTTTCTCACCCCCATGCAAGTATTTAAAAGTTGTTATGGCCATGTGTGAGAGAACTACATATGTGCTGCAGCAGCGCGAGTGGGAAGCATGAGGGATTTTTAGCACAGTTCTGATTAAATCAGTTTAGCTGCAGTGGGGCAGAAGTTTAATGCGATGCTTCGGATGTTTGCCCTTCTGTGAACTGTGACATGTGGCCAGCTGCAAAACCTCTGTGGTCTTGCCATGCTTGCCAGAGAACTGCTGTGGGTACCCACTTCATGCTGAAAAGATTTGTCTTACACTTTTGTCCCATATTCAAGAAAATGTTTGGGCATGCTGGCCACAGTACTAGTACATTGACCTGTAGATAGGAATTCCCAGTTTGCCCTTCGAAGATGCTAGCAGGCTTTTAGAGCTGGAAATCTCTGAGTCTGTTTAACTTCCTGGATTCCATCTTATTTTGGCCCTAATCCAGGCTCTGTTTTCCAGTTAAGCATTTCTATTTATAATGCTTATGGAAAAACAGGATTTGTTTCTTGCATCGAAAACATTCAGAAGAAAACCTCTTTTTAATTTTTTTTTCTCTACTGTGACTCACCAAGGGGGTTTGATGTTCCAGTTACTTAGAATTGCAGAAAACAAAATTACAGGCAACTGGATTTATGATGGGATTGAGCTTTTCCCCTGGGGTGATCTGGATTGACTATGTGCTTGCTGGAAGGGCTGCTTTGTGGCTAATTGTTAACAATAGATGTCTGTGGCTGTGCCATTGTGGTGATTATGCCATTACAGCTGGCACTCTTTGCAGAGGTAAGGTTCCTGTAGCTTAGCCATGTGCTTTCCCTCCTAAATCTGATGTTATGCATCAGCTGAAATGCTATTTGCTTCCAAGCATGTGTACAGAAATAGGTATATTTTGTTTTAAAAGTCAGTCATTTTAATGCACCAGAAAACTTATCTTGCTTCTTCCATGGTGCTAAGGAGCAGCAGGCCCCATGCAATGCCCCCTTCCCTGGGAGGTCAGAAGCAACATCTTTCCATCAGGTCCCTCACTGTATGGTGCAGTGTATGAGACTTTTATCTTCTTGCACAGAAGTGACCTTATTTCGAAACCTGACTTTCTGAAGAACCGTACAGTAAAACATCAAGTTGTGTACAAAAGGGTGTTTGACACTTATGGCATTTTTCTTCCCCGTGGTGGAAAAACAGAGTTGACATGGAAGCTCAGATGCTGCCTTCCCACTGTTGGCATCTCTGTTAATTTACATATTCTTAAGGCTTTTCCATTGTTTACCTTGGTATGATTTAATGTATACTTGGCCTCAGAGAGAAAGACTTAAACCAGTTTGAGGAATGCTAATTCCCAGTGTCTGTCACTAAATTTTCCTGGAAATTTCCTTAAGAATTGCTCCAGTGCTACTGTACTATCACAGACTTGGGACTCAGAGGAGCTGGAGAGCCCCATCACCCTGGGGAAGCAGCAGTCTCAGAAAACTCCATGTCCAGGAGTGCCTGGTGTCTGCCATGGATAATCTACCCATGTTTGTTTATTTAACTTCTACTCATCGGTGATGAAGAAGCCTTTAGTTCCCAGGAAGAAGCCCTATTCAGGAAACACTTGCAGTGAACTTTGCTTTGCATCAAAGATCACTTCCCTATAGGTATTAAAGGTATAGGGACTTATTAAAACCCAAAAAAGTTATTAAAGTTATTAAAGTTTTGGGTTGATTTATGTATCTTATTCTGAGTGAGTCAAGTTTTGCTTTGTTCAAGGCTGTAGCACAAATGTCTCCTTGCACTGCTTAGAGACAACCCTTGTCTCCCTTTTTTCTTTTTGCTGCTCAGCTATAAAGTAAATTCAGAGGACATGTATTTTTTCAGAAATAAATTCTCTTTATTTTAAAATTCAGACACATGTGCTTTATACCAAAACAGACACCAAAAGAGACTTGGTATTCATCTCTAGTTTTAAGCAAAACTGTGGTTTTCAGGGCTGTCTAACCAGACACAGTGATTTTAATGAATCTTTACAACTTTTTCTCCCTGCTGATGCTCAAGATAGTTTTGCAGGCATTTCAGCAACCTTTCTGTCAATGGCCTCTCATAAGAGAAGCCAAGAAATTTCAGGGATTTCCAGGGGTTAAAACAAAAAAAAATGAGAAATAAGGAAAAAGCAAAGATGGTGTCTTTAGAGTGTCATGTTAAATATGGACAGATCTCTACCAATTTTCTGCCATGTGCATTTCTTCTCCCTGGCTCTTCACACCACCTCCATTTCCAATGGCTCTCCTGTTGCCACAGCACCAACTGCCCTCCTCATTCCTCCATTGCCAATCTCTGCTTTGTAATAAGATGTGTAATTTTCACAGGTTTTTAAAGAGAAGAGTCTTCAGCAAGAGGAACTTTATTTTTTGGGCAATGACTTCAGTTATTTTTCCCAAGTCTTCCTGCAGCCACAGACTATGGTGGCACATGGCGTAATGCTTACAAGTACCTTTCTGTTATCTTTTTGTTTCTCTGCTACTCTGATGTCCTTCTGGCAGTAAGTGCAAATGGCTGGTGACAGCCTTTGTCAAAGATAGGTATATGTAATTCTTATGATGAGCTTTGTGTTCAGTCTGTCCTTAGAATCTGCCATCTGCCCATTAAAAAAAATATTGTTTCTCCACTGAGACACCAGGACCCAAGGGCTTACTTAGACGCTTTTCACTCTAATTTTCTTTAAAAACTCAATGAGTTTTCTTAAAAAAAAAAAAAAGGAAAAAAATCCCCAACCTAGAAAAGTCAGTTCTAAATTCAGAACCACAAAAGTGTGAGGGTACACAATATCGGTTTGCACCATAACCTAGTTAGAAATTCTTTGCAGAGGATTACTTGATTCAGGTTAGAATTTTAATGATGATGTAATCAGAGATCTGAGATTTTAATCTAGGTATCTCTCTGCTTAATACAAATCATATCCCTATCATGAGTCAGATTTGCTGCCAAAGACATTGATGCTAATTAAAAAATTTCAAAATAAAGTCAAGTATTACTAACTGTTACCATCTTAAGTCAAATATTTTCAGCCCAAAGTTTGTGAGGAGGAGAATGGCACTTTCATTTTCATTCCTCATCCACCTTGTTTTAAAGAAAGTTTTTATCAATTTTGTTCCAATTTGCTTTATGTTTCCCTTTCAATAAATCAATGCTTAATGTTAATTTGGAAATGTTGCATATTACTTACAAGGTAAGTCTTCACGAAATATGGCTGAGGGTCTGGTTTGTGTCTTTTCTGGGGTTTATGGTAGCAACAGCATCACCTTACATACGGATAGTACCTAAAATGTCCTCAAAAATGTAGAATGTAACTTGGCATGAGCTAGTACTACTACATTTCTCTTGAAGGCTGTGGGCAGTGCATGAAAAAAAACAATAGCCAATAGCACTTTGCAAAAGGTAGTGGTGGTTCGAAGATTTAAAGAGAAGAATGCATTGCTTATCTGTTCCAGCTGAACTAGAGAAAAAAGTGAAACACAAGTCTACACAGGAATCTGCTTTAATCCATCACTCTATTTTATGAAGCATCACACAGCATTTTCACCAATTAGCATTTGATAGCAGTTTAAGTAAGGGCCACAGGGTTATTTAAGGAAAAAGCCAACAACCTATTTCATAGTCACTGACTCCTCATTTGGCAGCAGTGCTCTTGGAGGGCTTGGATAGTACCCGGCAGTTGCAGAGCTATTTGAGGAAAATCGTGTAAATCTATAATCCAGGGGTAAATCTGCAAGACAGAAACATACCACATCTGATTAGCAGCACAGACTGTGTCACATAAAAAAAAAAGCCTGTGGTGAATAGCAGTACTTCTTAAAACCTTGAGCTGTTTGCTCACCAGCATTAGAATTCAATCAGAGTGCATGATTACACATTTATTTGATGTCTTCAGCTGTCCAAGGGATTGACTTTCAGAGTTTCAACTGCACTAAAGCATATTCGGTTCCTTGATTGCTGAAAGAATGCTAATCAGATAAAATAATTTAATCTAATGTATAAATACTAATCAAAAATCTTCATTGAGCCTAGATAGAATTTTCCCCCATGTTCACCTTCAAGTCCATTCTTCAATTTGTCACCTTTCTCTTTTATCTCAGCAATCTACTCATAAGAGGGCTATGTTTAAAACAAAGAATCAGTTCCTCTTTTTTGTTTTTCATAGCTATTAAAGCAAGATTCTCCAAAGGCACCCACTCTTAGACCTTCTCACAATCCAGTGTTAACAACATAATTTTGTATCAAGCCCTCTTAGAAATCTGCACTTGTAACTTGGTGTACTCATCACTTCCAGTCTGTTAAGAATGCTGAATGCATTAAAATAGTTCTGAACAGTAGAAGCTTTCTTTTCTGTAGCTTTTTAAAAAAAGTCTTTGCTGCCAGCAGTGATCCGCCCACCCTCACAGCCAGAAAACAGATACTTCCCGTTCTCACCTCTCAAAGTTCAAGAAACCAAATTAAAAAAACACATAAATAAAACTTCATTCAAGAAACAATTACCTTCACAATAAATGAAAAAAAAATACATAAAACCCAACAAAAAAGGGTTAGCTCCTTTCCAGGTTGTCTGCTCAGAACCAAAGCAAAACACAAAAACTATTACTCAGCTCATCTGGATAGTAAGTTACTAATTACAACTGTTTTTTTTTTTTAACTTGGAGTGACTCTGGAGAGATGATATCCTGTCACTATATGCTACTTTTTTTTTTTTTCCACTCAGCAAGTTTTATGAAACAGAAAAACATAATTTTAGCAGTTCTGGCACAAACAACAGGAAATCCAGTTCTGTCTCACAAGCGATCCCCAGGCAAGCACCAGTACAGCATACAGGTATAGAGAAACCATATTAAACATAAGTATAGTAAGCAAATCAGTATTTAGATCAAGCTGAAAAATCAGAGATAGGCTGGAATAAAGTAGGAATAGGAGTTAACTTGATTGGAAGAGAATTATGCTTTATCAAGTGAGTTATTTTAGCTCAAAGAAGTGCATTTTCTCATTTTGTCCAAGTCAGGGAAATCTCTGGAGTTCGTTCTCAGCATGGAAGAACAGGCAGATGTTTTTTTATTGTGCAGAGGGCCCAATGGATTTACAGGCTGCTGAGTCTATTTATGACAGCTCTGTTTAAAACAAAGGTTTCAAAAATAACAAATAATAACAAAAAAGAAAGCAAATATTTCTGAATATCTTTATAAGCTATAAAAATCAAATGCCATACAGCTACTTTTATATAAAAGCTTTTACTAGCTTTTTAGTCTAGCAGTCTGGAGTCTCCCAAGAGTAGTTTAATCAAAGAGCAACACAAATGGGGTAGACTTGCTGCAGAGTTGATTATTGCTGAAGAAAAGAACCAGCTGAATCAAAATGGTAATTTTATTGATATTTCCTGGTAAACTAGCTTTACACAATCAGCTTAAACACCAAAACCATTCTATATGCAATGCACAAGACTTCAAGAGAGAATAATCACATATTTACATATTCACCCCCCAATTCTATTAATTTAAATATTGCTTTTGTCTCAGCAAGCTGACTTTGAAAGATGACCAGAAGATATCCATATTTAAAAATGTTGCCCAAGGCATCACTAAAAGTTGCATGAAGCATGAGACACATACTATTCTTCACCTATGAAGCAGATTTTATGTATCACATAGGAAAAAGCTTCCTGTATTTCAAATTTGTTTCCGTCAGTGATTTTATGCCCTGCATCTTTTGTGTCTGCTTTGCCTAGAATATGTAACCTTTTATATATTAGTGTTTGATTTCAGTTTGATATATTTATGAGAAAGCTCTGGCCTGATCCAGAAAGGCATACTTGGAATCTTAGTGGCTATAAATAAATACACAGTAAGAAAGAGGGGCAAGTATACAGGGAAATAAAGATAGATATTTTTAATTGCAAAATTTAAAATAAGTTCTTTGAAAACTCTTCAATTTAAAATAAATCACAGCTGCCCTAGATCGAAGAAGTATTATGTGAATTGTACACCAAAGCTCAATACAGCTTCTTCTTATGTAAAAGTCAATGGTATCATTAGGTCCAGCAATACTGGCTCATCAACAAAGAACAACAATACAGGTCTGGAGTCTGTCTCCTGCACATTTGAGCAATTAATTTTATGTCTATTCTTATTCCATGTTATCACTGATGATACAGATGAGAAATAAGCGGCTTTAGGGGAAGCCATACGAGGAGTGGCTGATGTCACTTGGTCTGTTCTGCCTGGAGAAGACTGAGGGGAGACCTCACTGCAGTCTACGACTTCCTTGTGAGGGTAAGTGGAGGGCCAGGCATCAATCTCTTCACTCTTGTGACCAGAGATAGGACCTTATGGAATGGCATGAAGGTGTGTCAGGAGAACTTTAGATTGGATATTAGAAATAGATACTTCACCCAGAGGGTGGTTGAGCACTGTAGCATCAAAGCTGACAGAGTTCAAGAACTGTTTGGACAATGCTCTCAGGCACATTTTCTGACTCTTGGAGCTGTCCTGTGCATGGCCAGGAGCTGGACATGATGATCATAATGGGTCCCTTCCAACTCAGGATATTCTAGAATTCTACGAGCTCCATTTTGCTAAAATGAAATGCTTGCACACACCATGGCTTGATGCAAAAGCATGCAAAAAATATGACACAGTATTTGATAATAAAGCCAGTCTCAGGAAAAGAATAGTTTCTTATTTCCAAGTTGTTGTTTTCCTAGTGTTTTTGCCAGTAAATTCTTCAGGTTTTGCTGCTATGCATGCTCACAGCTGCTGCTGTTGTGGCAAACCTTTGCATCTTGGCATCCATTTCTCATCTAACCCTGATGAAGAGTCATAAATTAGGCAGGGGGCAGACAACCAGTCCTCTCTGAGATATAATTTGATGGTGAGGTTCTAATCAGTCCTAACCTACACTGATAATGAGTTCAGCATTCATCCAATATTTCCATTATCATAAAAAACAAACAAACAAACAAACAAACAAACAAACTTAAACAAACTAAACAGCTTGAGGCTGGAAGAATGAACTATCTGGCTGTACCCAATTGCTTCAGAATCACAGTCCCAGAGTTTTTCTATCATTCTTAGGTAATTAATTAAATTAATTTTTTTCCAAGACAAATAGGATATTCTCTTTTAGAGCCAAAGACTCCTAGAAGTCAGACATGGAGGGTCTCAAGGTCCCTTTCTAGATCTGCCAGAAATGCCAGTTATTAGATGCATAACCCTGCATTTCTGTCCCATTCCTTTCTTTGCTCCCACATCAGCCTGAGTGCAAGTGAGTGATGAAAACTGGTTTCCTTTACAGTGATCATTCAGTGTTACTAGCATTTCCCAGTGGCTTGGGCGACTCTCCCAGGTTCTATGCCTTAGCCTCAGCTCAGAAGCAGAACTCCTGCCCTGTCCTACCTCCTTTATAGGACTCCAGCAGCCCTGGTGTAAACAAAATAACAGTGATGATATTTAAACAGTAACCACTGTCACTTACTGTGTTCCAGTTATCCAGAACCAGGTATTAAGTCACATTAATTATAACATTATGTTCTGATGCTTATGTATACCCATATCCATGCATATATTTAGGTGTTACGGATGGATTTGTATCATAGTTACAAAGCTGACAATACCTCAGTGTCTGTGTGCTGTGCAATTAGTGTAAGCCAACTAAATGAAAGCCACAGGGTTTTATCAGAGGAAGACTTGGAGTTCCACCCACAAGGAAGGAAAAGAAACCACACAAAGAAGGAAAAACGTAATATTCTCGATGAGTGATCAGGAAAATATTTGAGAAACTGAATGGAAGACAATTATAATCTAATCCAGACACAGGCCTGGTCAATAAACTTAATACTCTTGGCTAATCCGTGTGGTGTTTTTTTTTGTTTTGTTTTGTTTGGGATTCATTTGGGGTTTTTTTGAGATTTTTTTTTTAACAAACCAATACACTAAACAAATAAAATCTTAACTAAGTGCTTTAGATGGAAGGCATTTTTTTTCAATTAAAAGCACAGTCCAAGACTGAAATGGATTTCTCCCAAAATACACAGCAGAAATGTCAGGAATCATTTTTCAGTATTGACCAACAAAAGCAAAGCCAACATTTTTATATCGTGACACCACAGCAGCATCTCCATGACGAGTGAGAAGCTCTACAGAAAGCTGAACTCCCCTCCCCTCTCTGAGGTCTGTTCCCTGCCAGTCAGCAGGGCTGAAGCCAGATGCTGCAAAAGCCACCTAATAAACAGCAGAGATGTGTTCTTAAGTGAATCCAAATATATCCTCCTGATTATCAACAAGAAAAAGATCCAGGGAGGAAAATGAAAACCTTGTTAGTGATACCCAAGTTTGAAAAAATTCTTTCAACTGCTTAATTGTGTCAAATCTCAAAAACCAGAGTCAAAACTCTGTCTTACATTCATCTCATCATCCAGATGGTGTAAACTGTAGGGGCAGACCATCAGCCAGTATAAATTCTTTTGCTTTTACAGGATTTTCCGTAATTTACACTGACTTGGAAACTTTATCATGTCTTTTACTGCACTTCAAAGTTGCTGTTGAAAGCAAATATTAATTTCTTAATGATAACAACTTCTAACAACAATTTTTTAACAGTGGGGTAAGAACAACTTCTGCAGGGGAATCCATCAGTTTGGATGTGCCATCGAGTGATCTGACTTGCCAGTCTGCAGGTAAATTGTAAAAGGCATTATTTTTTCTTAAATACTAAATGTTTTTATCT